GGCGGAGCAGGGTGTGCAGAGGTCTCTGATGCAGCCCTCCTCTGTTCCCCGTCCTCTAGCACTGTCCAGATACGAAGGAGTCGGTCCTCCTGCAGGACTCAGCTCACAGGAGACAAACCCAGGGCTCCAAACCACCACCCCAGCCAGCGACGGCCCCCACAGGCCAGCTTTTCCATCCCATTTCCATGTCGAGATCTTGTGCAGTCTTCTTGGAAGGTTCTCTGGAAGAAATAGTAAAAGATCAGTTTTCCCTCACGTTTTGTACAACTTGCCTACAAAACCATCTGTGGCTGTGCTTTCTTGGCAAAGATTCTTTTTATTTTAGGGGGTTTTGTGAGATAAGATTTTGCTATGTAGCTCAGGATGGCCTGGAACTCAGTGATCCTCCTGCCTCAGCCTCCCTAGTGCTGGGACCACAGGCATGCGCCACCACACCTGGCCTGGCAGGAAGATTCTGCACTACCGTTTTGCTCTGTTCAGGAGTCACAGGACTATTTGTCTTTCTCCTTGAGTCAGTTTTTGGCAGTATTTTTCCAGGGTCTTATCCATTTCCTCCAAGTTGCTCCTAATCTAACCACTCTCACTATCCTATGACCTCCATGGCAGAGCCATGCGTCCAGGCGCCCCCACGCACGGCAGCCCTCTAGCTCACCCTCAGCCCCAACCAGCAGACAGACAACTGCTCTGAAGGCCACTCAGACTGGGACCCCCCAGACCCCTGACCACCTCTGGGAGCTGGGGGGACTCCTGGTGCAGGCTCAGGCACCCCACGCCTCACCCCGCCTGAGGGTCCTGGGCAGAAAGCTGGAATCTCGGGTGAAGGTTCCCATGTAGTGCTGCAGGGTGGCCGCTCTTACCACAGCTCTGGGGAGAAGGGCTTGTCCCCTGCACCTCCCGGGTGCCACCCCGAGGAGCACGCTGCTCGGCAGAGCGGATGCCCTGGTGTGCACATGCACCCTGCAGGGGTGGGCAGGGCCAGAGTGGGCATCTCTGTCCTCAGGGCAGTGGGGAGGCCCAGAGAAGCAGGACTCCACCCATGTCACCAGGATCAACAAACAGCAAGCAGAGGCACAGGACAGCACTGAGGAGCAGGGCAGGATGGGGAGGGGGGACACAGACCAGCACAGTGCTGCTCACCCTGCCCACCAGGTCCCAGGGACAGAGTAGGCGGAGCTGTGCTGAGTAGGCACCAAGCTCCAGCACCAGAGATGAAGAGTTCTGGAAACAGATGGTGCTGCCAGCTGCACAGCAGTGTACATGTGCTCGATGCCACTGCACTGGACGGCCAGGTGTGGCAGTGCACACTGGAACATCAGCTACTCAGAGAGGTGAAGCAGGAGCATCTCATATTCATCGCCAGTCTAGGCAACTTAAGGAAGGCCTGTCTCAAATGATAAAGAGGGCTGGGAATATAGCTCAGTGCAGAATCCCCTGGGTTCAATCCCCAGTACCAAAAAGAGGTTGGGACACCAGCACTGCACGCGCGTGCACGCACACGTGCACACACACACACACACACACACACACACACACACACACACGGATGGGAAGGGATGTGCATCAGCAGACAGACACTAGAGGGCAGGGCCTGCTCAGGAAAGAGTCCTGGGGAGCCAGAGCCTCGGGGACACTGGCAGCTGGCACTCTGTCCTGGCCTCCTCAGGTGCAGACATGTGGACACCCAGCCAGTAGCAGAGATGGGCAGAGGCTTGGGCAGGCAGGAGCACAGCCAGGAACCAACCCCAGGTTCCAGCAAAGGGTAGGTGACAAGGAGCAGTGGAAAGCAGGTGTCCAAGGGTGGCCCACACCTAGCTGAGGGTGCCAAGCAGGGCAGGGCAGGGCAGGAGGGGCACAGGGAGAGGGCAAGCGCCAGGTCTGGAGTGCAACAGAAGGGGCTACGGGCAGGGCCAGGGGCATCTAGCCAGGGAAGCATCTAGAGCACTAGGGTGCAGAGGCCCCACAGGCAGAGCCCAGCACACATTAGCCCGGCAGGGCCAGGGTGTGGCCCTTGGCAGAGCCAAGCAGGGGCACAAAATAAGACCACCTGTTTCTCGCCCAGGAGGGCCTGCTCGCAAGGGCAGCAGACGCTGCAAACCACTAAGGGGCCACCAGCCGGGGACAGCCTGAGCCGGAACTGAGCCCCGGAGGCCTCTATGCAACCAGCTGCATCCACTGAGCTGCCGCCCTCCTCCCAAGACGCCCTATGTGCACCTCTGCCAGCTCAGGGCCCCTCAGGCAGGAGCCTGGATTCTAACAGCACAACAGTCCATGGCAGTAATGCGAAGGAAGCCACTGCAGCCACCTCCCAGTGTAAGGACACCAGGCCCTGGAAACACAACTTGTTTCTGGGCCTGCTCACCTGGGTCTGCCTCAACCCAAGGGGAAGCAGGGCGTGCAGGGAGAAAGAAAAATTTCTCCAAAGATGACTGCTCCCTGTCAATATCTCAAATGCCTGCCTCTTAGCACTGTCCCTCAAATCAAGCCTTGTGAAATCCCTACAGCTTTCTAGTCTGAGCAGCACCACACCAAGACAGCAGGGTGCCCATCCCCACGGCGGGAACCCAGACTGACAGGGAGGCCAAGCAGAGCAACACATTTTATTTAACTCAGACAAGGCGCCAGTGGAATGGCCACAGGCCACTTCTGGGGTGACATCCTCAGCACCTCTCCTGCACAGCAGTGCCCCCCACGAGCTGGGAGGCCACGTGGCCTGAGCCAGCACAGGACAACCAGGTCCAAGGGCACAACTGCCCACAGACCGGCCCAGAGGAGGGTACAGACAACGCACCCCAGGGTCCTAGCAATGACCGCCTCCTGCTCTTCACAGTAGACCTCTTACAGAAGGACCACAGCTCAACTCGCGCTGAACACGATGCCCATCTGAAAACTCGTTCCAAAATAGAGAAGCTCTCCCCAAACTGTAAAAGCCATAAAAATGCAAAATACTTCTTAGGAAAAACTGGGTCAAAATTACGTCTCAAAGATCAAAATAGCAAGAAGCAGTTTCTCTGGCTGTGGAAGCAGGCGCCGGCCAGCCAGGTCAATTGTTCTCGATCTGCTCCAGGTCCAAGTCGCCGTGGTCCAGAGGGAAGACCCCCTCCTCGCCGGCACTGTCCCAGTCACTGGGGTCCCCACTGCTCCCACCCTCACCCTCGCCAGCCTCAGGCTCCCCCGAGGTCCACGGGCTGGAGCCAGGCATGACAATGCTCACGAGGCCCTGCGAATCACATGGGGATGACACAACTGTCTTCACCTGGGTGTCATCCTCTTCGTTGGCCTCGTAGTCCAGCGAGCAGAGACTCTTTGAGTTTCTTAAAGTCTGCAACAGAAAAGACACAGGCTGAACGTGCTGCTGTGGCCTACTGTGAGGCAGCACTGGCCAGCACGAGGCCTGCGTGTGGCAACAGCCCAGCCCTGCGCTCCCTGCAGCAGGTTGCATGGCACCTGCGGTGCCCCCCCAGACCAAGGGCACCCAGCTCATCAGGCCTGGCACCTGGCGAGACCCAGGTGCCCAGGGAACTCAGTGTGGGCTGTACTCTGGAGACGCCATTTTTCTTCCTTTTTCGGGTGAGGGAGGCAGTACTGGGATTGAACCCAGGGCCTTGGCACTGAGTTATAGCCCCAGACCTTTTTTTTTTTTTTTAATTTATTTATTTATTATTTTGAGACAGGATGTTGCTAAGTTGCCCGGGCTAAGCGCCAACTTGCCATCCTGTCTCAGCCTCCCAGAGTGCTGGTACAACAGGCACGCACCGCCATACACACCTCATACTTAGTCTCATACTCAGCTACAGGACCAGGCAGGAGCCAGGTGCCCCATTTCCGACAACCTCCCCCGGAGGACAAGGGTGACACTCCTGGCTGCCTCCCTGTCAGCCCTGGACCTCAGCCCTCACTCCCAGCCGTCCTAAGTACCAGCCCTCAGCCTGCCGCACTCTCCTCCCTGCTCCTGTGATGAAGCATTCTTCATATACAGCCTACACGGCTTCCTCATCTCACTTTAAGACAGAAACACACAGAAAGGGCTGCCTGGCACACGCCCCACCCTGGTGCTGGGTGGCAGAGCCTCGTCCTCTGGCTGTGCTGCCCTCTCCTCCATGCTCTACCCATCAATTCAGCCTCCAGACTGCACGCCCAGGCCAAGCTCTCCCAGCCATGGAGTCCTGTCCACTGGGGTGCTGCTCCCACATGGCCCCCACGGCTGCACCACACATCCTGGGATGCCATGGGCTTGTTTCCCGACACCACCTCTGAGCCTGGCCTCACATCTCTCATCCCGCAGAGCTCAGGCCCATCTGCCAATCCTGTACACTACCATGGCTCCTCTGGGCTCCCCTGCCTGGGTGCTACCTGCTGAGGTTCAGTCTGGGCTGCTCTCCTGAGCCACAGACACCACCATGGCCAGACCTGAAGGCCGTGGGTGCTGGGCACTGTGACATGGGAAACAGTGCACAGAGCACGTGGACACAGCAGTGCTGGGACAGGAATGACACTGGCCCCTTATGCCCCGCAAGCCAGACAGCATCCTCCTCAGAGCTATGAACAGCCACGTGGTCACATGACAGGAAATCTATTCTCTGGCTACAAATTGCCTGGAAAGAGTCCCACAGCAACACAAAGCACATCACCCGGGGAGGCCAGAGCACCTCCCAGAAGTTGGTACTTTTAAAAAAAGTACTTGTTTCCACAAGACACACTGCTGTATGTTTTTTGTTCTTGTTCAGCTATAAAAAGTGTTTGAGAATCTTCCAAAGAACTAAATCATACATACAGAATTGGCCACACTTTGTCACATCCTTTTTTTTTTCCCAAATCATAGTAAACTTGATTATCTACATCTCTTACATGCAAACCCCACGCTACTGCTTGGCATTGTGCAGGACAGGGCAGTCCCTGCAGGGTGGTGCAGGTGCCAAGGCCAGCGGGCTCTACTTTATGAGCAGTCAGATCTTAAATCTCAATGACCACACTGTTTTGGCTGACAGTACAGAAGCCATCCTGTGGACAGACACTGGCCTGAGGTGTGCGGGAGCTGCTACTGGTACCTATCACCCTCTCACCCTAACACCAACTCACCTAGACCACAGCTGTGCAGCTCTGGCAAGAAGCCTCAGCTACTCAGCAACCCCTACTACTCCACAAAGATGGCACTCGTGGCACTAAGAACAGGACACACAACAGTGCAGCACAGCAAGGAAGGCAAGGTCCAGCGTGCCGGGGCCGCAAGGTCACACACAGCCACCCACTCCACCCGCATGCCTGGCACCTCACGCCTGGGCTCAGCCCCAAGGCCACCCTCACCCTGCAGGGCCCGCTTCCCTCTCTCTACACCCAGGCTCCCCAGGGACACCCTCGGAGGTGCTGCTTCTGTCTGGAAAGTGAAAATTCCTGGCTCTTCATCACCTGCACACTGGCTCCTCATACACCACTCACCCAACACACCCGACCCCAATCTGGGCAGAATAGGCACCTGCTCCGCCCCAGAGCCACCCAGAAGCCTGCCGTGCAAGTGAGCACTGGGCAGCCCCACATGCTGGCCACAGTGCCACGCCCACAGCCAGCGCAGCATCTGGAGCAGGCTGCTCCTGGGCTGGGACAGGCTTGGGGTGCACAGGAAACAGCTCTTCAGGGCACCCCTCTTCCATGCACAGGATGTCCCACGTGCAAGCTGCTGCCACTGCCTCCCCCCAAAATCTGAAACCTTACCACCAAAGCTTAGGTCAAGCCACTGAACAGCTCGGACGCTATCACGTTTCTATTCTTGTAGTACAGGGCAGAGAATAACCATGAAGGTGTCCTGTGCTGTGCCCCCTGCCCCCCTTCCAACCAGAAAGGGCAGCAAGGTGGGGCTGGGCGGAGGGCTCCATTTCCAAAATAACTGCAAGAGGGGCCAGGGATATAGCTCAATGGCACCACACCTGCCTGGCAAGAGCAAGGCCCTGAGTTTGATTCCTAGTAGCAGGTGGAAAAAAAAGTGAAACCAAAATAATCACAAGACATCACATGCAACAAATCCCCCACATGGCCTGTGTCCAGGAATGGTGCTGTATGTACCTTGTGCATGACTTCATTAAGAAAACATGGCTTGGGCCAGGGATTTAGCTCAGTGGTTCCACCAACCGCTTCGCAAGTGTAAAGTCCCAGGTTCAATCCCCGGTACCAAAAAAAAGAAAACATGGCAAAGTCAGCCACTTAATCTTGAAATGGGACACACTTGCCCATTACTTTGCTTTTAGTAGTTTGAGGCGTTAGCTTAATCATGAAAGACTATGCCAATGACATTTAGAGAATGGGAACTTCATGAGTTTTGTGCAGTATGTGGAATACACACCTACATCTCCCCACACCAGTCTCAGCGCTCGTGTGTGCGTCTTTGTTGAGCAGAAAAGTTTTACTCTGACAAGCAGCAAGCTTTTGACAAGACACCAAGATTACCTAAAAATACCCAAATCTAACAACTGCAAAAGGGAAAGCTGCCCTGAGGTCAGCCTCGGCCAGTACCCAGGCAGAGGCACAGCTCCTCCAGGCACCGCTGCACAGTAAGTTTTCAAGCCCAGCCTGAACGCTCCTGCTGGATGCAAGGAGGACTGGGTCACATGGGTGACACGTTGTCTCTCTGGACACCCCTCCTGGTCCCTCACTCCAGAAAAAGTGGGATACCCACACAGCCCCCAGAAAGGACACATGGAAGGCACAGGAGGCAGGTCCTGCAGTGCAGGGAGCCCCCAGACCCACAGGCCCATTGAAGACCAGAGCCCACGCTATGATGCTTCCTGCTGTCAGGCCACAGTTCATGACTACCACAATTTGTGTCTCCACTTCAGTCTCCCTCCCCAATGGTGGCACCTGATTAAATGGAAGCTGACAAGCTCAGAGGCAGAGAAACGCAGGAAGGTGGTGTTGGGTGGACTTATGGGAGCCTGGGTAGACTGAGCTGGAGAAGGAGAGGAATAGACCAGAGAGCCCCTGCACCAGCCCACCGGCTCCCAAGGGCCACACGAATGCAAGGTGTCAATGGCCGGGGTCTCCTGCTCACCCCACAGCCCTCTGTGCTCCAGGAGCCATAGCTCCAGCCCTGAGGTTCCTCCCAAGGAGAAGCTCCAAGCCTTAAAGCACCACGCATTGCCATGTTCCACAGCAGCCTGTCCCAGTGGGGAACAGCATGCCACACTGGGGCACATCGAATCCTTGCCCTAGCTACAGCTTACCCTTGGGACTCGCCTGCCCCTGTCCTGACCCCAGTCACAACCATCCAAAGCATACTCCTTCCTCCCAAGGGGTCCAGAGTAGGCTGTCCCTGTCATCAACATGTCCCCAGCCCTGAAAGGCACCAAGCTACAAGCTCCCCTCCAGGCAGCTTCTCCTTCAGCCCCATTCTGCCAGCAGAGGGCAGCTTGCTGTCACCGACCTGACCCCAGACCCTGAGCCCCACAGCACATCCCACTGGTGTCCACAGAAAGAATCCTCCAGAGACTCTGCCAGCCACGAGAGGGCCAGCCCACAATAACCTCATCATGGCCCAAAGCGGGCATCTATCAGGCCCCACTGCATCCTACAGTCACTGCTGGTCACCCTGCTTTCATGCCAGGCTCTGGCAGGCCTGTCCCATCCTGACATATGGTTCAGCCACTTGAGCGGCTCCCCCCAGGACAGATCCAACACCCACCCACATGGTGCCCCACAGGGCCAAAGAGAGGTGAGACCCAAGGCTGAGCTGGTGAGGCAACTGAAGGGAGGTGGGCACAGCCCTGCCTCCACCTCAGCCTTGCTGCTGTGGTTCCCCCACTCCTGCCTCCTTCCCCAGCCAGCCCAAACATACCCAAGTAGACGAGGCCCTCCCCAGAAGCATGCCAGGAACCCAGGCCACCACTCCATTCCTCTCCTCTGATTCCCAAGAGCTCACAAAAGGCAGGCAGAAAGGCACGGATGTGAGGACCTCCACAGTGCCAGCTTCCTTCCAGACCAGGACTCAAAAGCCCCTTCAAAAGGAACTGTCCCAAAGAGGGGCAGGGACATCCTGAGTGCAGCTCAGCCAGGGTTGGCCTGGGCAGGGCCCTGATGGCATCTCACATCACCCCAGCAGACTATGAGCCCTGTAAGGTGAGCCACTCCAGGAGGCTGCCCCACGCGGGAGCCATGCACAGCTCCTCCTGCCTTAGCAGGGCTCGTCCTGGGGCTCAGAAGCTGGGACAGGCGCGGGACCCTAACCAGACCCGCAGGCAGAAGAGAATGGCTTCACAGAAACCACCCAGCCACCTGCCAGCACCAACCTGACTGCGAGGTCCACCCGCACCCAGAAATGACAGTGAAGCCTCACCCGCGTCATCTTGAGAAAGTCCAAGGAGGGGCGTGTCCACCTGGTGTCCTCCTCCCTCCTGCGCTTGCACCGGCTCCTCCTCCCGCCCAGCACGCAGGGCTGTGAATGGCACCGCAGCAGGCTATGATGCTGGCCAAGCTCGGGTGTGGATGTGGGGGTGCTGCTGGCTGAGGGCAGACGGCCTCCAGTGTCCTCAAGATGTTCCTGTGAGAGGGACAGGCGGCGCCTTGAGGACAGCAGGCAGGGCCCTGTGGGGTACCAGGATGGCTCCGAGCCCGTGCTACCCTCGCTGCTATCCACGAAGCCACTGCTGGCGGAGGCCGGCCGGGGTGCCAAGGGCGAAGCAGGGCCAACGGGAGACACAGGGCTCCTGGGGAGGGCTGTGCCCACAAGACCGCTACAGCATTGCAGTGTGGCACTCCCACCACTGTTGCAGCGCCTCTTGGAGACTGGAGTCCAGACCTTGGAGCCACTAGGGCGCCATGGCGACCAGCAACGGGCCAGCTCCTCCAGCTCAGACAGGGACCGGCAGTGCCGCTTGGTCAGTGGGGCTGTGGTTGGCCCCATGCTCTCCCGGAGGTCCACGGCACTGCCCACACCCAGGCCGGTGCATGCCGCTGGGGACTCGGGCTGCCACTGGACATCCTGGGCCTGAGTAGCACCGCAGGGAGCTGGCAGGAACGGGTGGGAAGGGCCTGCAGCTGCCTGCCTTCTGGTGGGCCATCCTCCTCGAAAGGTCTTCCAGGGGCTCCTGTCCACTAAGGAGACACAAGGGCAGGAGAAGAGACAGGTGAGTGAGGGGCCACCCTTGCCAGCCCACGGGGCACAGGCCAACTGGCCCGGCTGCCCCAAATCCCGCTCTGAGGCACTCAGGCCCTGCACAGGGGCACAGGCACACACATCGGAATCACTGCTGATCCTGGGTCAGCAGTCAGCCCAGAACTGGCTCCACTTCCTCAAGGGAGACACTGGTCTCAGAGGTTTTTAGGAACACCAACTGCCATCCACCCTTACCTCCATTTGCTGTCACCTTGTGTCACCAAAACGCCTCTAATGTGTCCCCGCCAACATCTTGGGGTGCACCCTCACTGCCAGGGTCCTCAGAGCTGCTTCTGACAGCCATACTCCTTCCTGCCATGGCAGAGCCAGCCCCACGTGCTTTCTTCTTATGGACACCTGAACCTCACCACACCAGCAGGGCAGAGGCCTGGCCTGCATGCCCACCCTGCAGCGGGCCGTGGGGACAGAGACCCCAATACTCTCAAGCCTACACTTCCTCCACTGTGACACAGGGTGGCAAAGCCTGCAGATGGCTGGGACCCTGACAGTGTCTTGTGCTGAGTGGCCCAGGAAAGCTTCCTTCAGTACCCCAGGAAGGCCAGGCCTCCCTAGGCCATCAATAGCCAGCAACATTCCCAGCCCCAGTAGCCAAGGGCCCTGGCTCCCCACACAACTGCCCATACCCAGACCCTGCCTGATACCTAGACTCCATGTGGGCCAGCAGAGCTCCCACAGAATGGCTGCCATTCCACCTGTCCAGCTGTTGTGGGCACTGCCACCTGGAGTGGCTCACACGCACACTCAGTAGTGTGAGTCTCCTCACGTGGAGGCAGCTTGGCTATGAGCCTGGATGCCCTCCCACCTGCCCTGCAGGTTCCTAGACACGCCCTAGGCACGAGTCCAACAGCCCCTTGGCCTCCTCTGCTGCTCCCACAGTTACTGTCCAGCTAGGAACATGGAACAGAGGCTATGCGGACTTACGGGAGATAAGCAGGCCCACAACTGGGGAAAGGCATGTGCCAGGGTATCCCAGGGAAGCAGGACAAGGCTGGGGGCAGAAGGCAAGAAGTTAAGAGTGTGGAGCCCTGAGTGGCTCTGACTGAGGGTGGAGACTGTCAATCCGGCACTGTAGACAGAATGAGCCCCAGGAGGCCAGCGGGTGGTGGGGGACTGGCTTGCTGGCACTCTCACTTCCTGCTTCCACCCACTTGCGGAAGGTGTGAGAGTCTAGCACAATCCTTCACATTAGCAGCCTGGGAAGCCTCCTGCCATGCAATCATGCAGAGGCTGCACGTGGACACCAGCCAGTCATAGCCACAGTGACGCAAGCCTGGCTTGGCTGGCCAGGAGCAGAGATGCTGTGTACCAGGAACATGGGTCCCGTGAACCTCCCACGAGGACAGCAGGGACGAGCTCCACACACAGACATCAGGCTGGACTGCACATACCATGCAGTGCTGCCATGTCTCTCATTCATGGTCATGGAATGTCACAGGGTGGGCTTCACACCTCCAGAGGTACCCCCAGCCCAACCAACCACACTGCCACTAGCAGAGAAAGGAGAGGCTGCCCTGGGCCTGACCCTAACCCATCCTGCTCAGACCACTCCTGACCCTGGCCCTTTGGTGGGGAAGACAGTGGCAGTGTTGTGGGGGACACAACAGGTCCCAGGCCTCATATGGAAGCCAACCCTGTACCCAGTCCTGAGACCCCTCCTGGCCTGGGCCACTCCCACCTTGTCATATGCAGCCTCCCCAGGCCTGAGAAGGCCCCCAGGGCCCCAGAAACTTACCACTGACCTCCAAAGGGAACAAGTGGTCACTCCTGGTCAGTCTCTCGGCAGAACACTGAAAGTGGTAAAAGAAGTTTCAGGGCTTCAACATACACATGAAAATGCATAGAGAAGAAATATTCCTACATTTTTATCACTGCAATAAATTCTATCTCTCCTAATACATTCTTTGGTGATAAAAATGAGAAGCACTGAACTCTGGTACACATTTCTTAATAGAGGTTTTTTTAAAACCTAACAAGATTCACTGAGTAACTGCATGCTGCTCTTCAGAGCCACTATGGGCTCTGCCTTCGCTCCCATGCCCTCCTCTGGCCAGCCTGAGACACACCAGCTTTCACACCCCACCCCTCTGCAATGCAGATACAAGCCAAGACCCTGGAAGGGCCTTCCTTCTCACAACAGCTGGACCCATGCCCCAGACCAGGCTGCAAGGGATTACTTCCTGGGAGGTATCAAGACAGCAGGGCCCCTCCTCTGGGAAGGCAGGAGAACCACTGCACAGAGGCAGCTTTGAGAGCCGGCAGGAGGGCATGCTGGCAAACTCCACAGACCTTCTTCCTAGGCTACAATTCTGCCACAAAGTCTCATGCTTCACGTGAGGAGTAAAAGTTGGCTTTGTGACCCAGAAAAAGACACACTGATAGACATGCTGTGCAGACAGTGGACCTTACTTCTGCTAAGACAGCTGTGTGGAGCAAGCCCTTGGCTACACAGGGACTAGCACAGGCACAGACACCGGGTAGCCGGGTTCAGATGGACAGAGGAGCAAGCAACCCACACACTACTAGCAACTCCAGCTGGCACAGGACCTGAAGACAGTCAGTCGTACCATGGTACAAATTGTCAGGGTGGCTGCCGGCCTCTGCTGTGGCCGCACATCCTCCAGCCCCAAGGCCGGAGCTCTCTGCCCCTCTGTGAGGCCGAAGGCTCCCACCCAGCCCAGCCACTGCCTGGAACAAGCACCAGGACCACAGGCACAGCTGCTCACAGCCTGCCTCCCAAGGGCTGCATCCCCAGCACATAGCAGAACAGCACCCACCCTAAAGTGACGACCCCAGCAAGGACTGGACCTTCCTGGCCCACTCCAGTGACTCCCACAGGTATCTCAAGGAGGTTACAGGCCTGCATCTGGCCTGGGGTGACCAAATCAAGGCACACACACATGAGGGCCCCCATGGCACAGCCTGACCTATAGCCTGACACCCAGCAAGCACTCCTCACTTCACTGAGGGGTTGGGTCCATGCTGTTGAGCAGCCAGGTGTGCATTGGAACCTGACACTTGGGACTGCAGGAGGGCAGGGGGCCACATACTGGCCATCTCACCTGAGCACCCTGCTGAGACCCAGCAGCTTCTGCACCTTCCCTGGGAGACACTGTAGAGGTGCTGGGACCACAGACTTACTCTGAGCCAGGGCACAGCAGGCACATGCACAGGTTACCACCTGCCATGCCATGCCCACTCAGGACAGGGTAGACAGTTGCCCTGCACCCCCTGCCCCCAGTCTAGCTCACCACACCTCTCCTCTGCCCTCTACCTGCTCTGGACCAGCCCCAGCACTGGTGGCCTTGGCTGTCTGGCAGCTCTCCCTGCTCTCTTTGGCCCCCTTCCACTCTCTTGCCGCTCTCTAGCCCACTGCCTGGGGGCTGCTGCACTCACTGAAGCATGGTCACTGTACTATGAGCCCAGGGCCCAGCCACGAGGCCTCCAGTTGCCATCAGGCCCCAGCCAGGAAGGCTCTTCCCAGCCACAATGCACTCTCCATCCAAAGGGACAGCCAGGGCCCAGCCCTGGCCCTCACTCACACCCTGAGCACAACGTTTCACAAGCACACCACGACAACTCCTCCTAGCCTGCCACCGACTGCTTCCCAGGAGGTGAGCATCCAGGTCCACAGCCCTACAGCAAAGTGGGTCTGAGCACAGCCCCAGTGCACAGGTGAAATTCAGGACCTGCTACTTCCTGGCCACTGTCTGCTCTCTCAGGAGATGCTCCAAGCCTTGGCCTGCATGATGGCCCCCAACCTGTCCATCCCCCTTCCAAGCCCCACCCCACCACCCCTGGCCCTCAGCACCGCTCCAGGGTGAAGCCATGGCCACACCGTCCTCATCAGCTGTCACATCTGTGGTCACTGGGCACCGGCAAGTCCATCCTCCTCAAGGTGGGCAGCACATCCTTTAACCTGAAGTTACCCACAAACCCAAGCCCCAGGCCAAGCAGCCTGCCAATTCCTGCATTAGCCAATACAGGGTGTCAGAACTCGTGTACCCTCCAGGGGGCACACTGACACACAGGTGCTCACACACCACAGTCACTCCCTTGGTGCCATGGAATGCGCGTGCACATGCACGTACACACACACCACTGCACAAAGAGCCAACTGGAGATCCCACAAGCCCGATGTTGCTCTGGCACTTACAAGAAGTGAAGAGCCAACCCCAGAGGCCATGGGCTGTGACTCAGATTGGAAATGAGGCAGTCTCAGAGTGGAGAAGATCAAGGGCCGCCAGGGAGGAAGGTGGGGAGGGCAGTGTGGCCACGGAGCAGACTCGAGGAGGGCTTTCACCTGAAGACTGCTACTGGCAAACCCAGAGACTGCACTGTTTGTGCCAATCAGCACCACAGATGCTGCCACACAGCTACTGCAACTTAAACTTACCTTACGCCAAAATCAACTCAGCCCCTCAGCACCACACTGCAGCCACTGCTAAGTCTGGACAACATGGACCCCACACAGCTCCGTGGCACAGGATCAAATATTTCTGCAATTAACTTTTATTGTTTTTTTTTAAATAAAAATTTACTATCTAAATTGAGATGTACAAGTCAGATTTAGTGGCCTAATTCCAACACTCAGGAGGCCAAGGCAAAAGGATCACAAGTTTGAGGCCAGCCTGTGCTACAGAGTGAGTTCAAGGCCAGCCTGACCTACAAGGTAAGAATTTGTAATCCTCCTGCCTCATCCTCTGTAAGTATAGGAATTACAGGTGTGTACCACTGTACACAGCAAAAACAAATTTTTAAATCTGAGTCTTTGAAACTTAGTGTGTATTTTACATTTACAGAAATCTTAGTTTGTTTGGCTTTTGGCTTTTGGAAACAGGGTCTCACTATGTAGTTGAGACTGACCTGGAACTCACTAGGTAGCGCAGGCTGGTCTCGCACTCACAGCGATCCTCCTGCCTCAGCCTCCCAGGTGGTGCTGGGATTACAGTTATGTGCCACCACGCCCAGCTAAAAAACATTTTTAAAGGGCTAGGGATGGAGTTCAGTGACAGTGCCTGTGGGCTCAATCTCCAGTACCACAAAAGGAAGAAAGAGAAAGAGAGAGACAAAGAGAAAGAGAGAGAAAGGAAGGAAAGAAAACTTTTGACAAGGATGCCAAAATTCTTTTCCAGTTCCATGGGAAGCAACGGTCTCTTGAAAAAATGACACTGGTCAACTTGTCTTCGTGCAAAAATACAAAAGTGTACCCTTATCTTATACCACATTAAAAATGGATCAAGGACCTACATATAAAAGCTAAAGCCATAAACTCTTCAAAGAAAACAGGTATGGCCTGTGTGATCATGCACACCTGTAATGCTAGGACTGTGGGAGGCTGATGCAGGGAAATTTAAGCCCAGCCCAGGCAACTTAATGACTTAGGGAGACTCTGTCTCACAAATTTAAAAAGCAGGGCTGGGGATTTAGCTCAGTGTTGCCACCACCTGCCCTGAAAGTGCAAAGTCCTAAATTCGATCCCCAATATTAAAAAAATAATAATAATAATTAAAAAGAAGCCGAGGATATAACTCAGTATGAAGGCCCTGGGTTTAACTTTCAATTTCCCGACCCTGAAAAATAGAAACAGTATAGGAATAAATCTTCATGACCTTGCATTTGGCAAAGGATTCCTGTATAGGATCCTAAAAGCCAAATAGAAGAAATAGATCAAATGGATTTCATCAAAATGAAAATTTCTGTACATCAAAGACACTATTAAGGGATTAAGGGAATGAAACACGAACACTGCATGGGAGAAAGTGTGGCAAATCATGCATCTTTAAGGAACCAGGTCCAGAATATACATGGAACATCCCACAAACCAACAATAAAGAGAAATCACCCCATCTACAAATGAACCAAGGGTCCCAATGGATATTCTTCCAGAGAAGTCATTCAGCTGACAATGGGCACGTGAGAAAATGCTCATCACTAGTCACTGGGGAAACACGAATGAAAATCACATGGAGAGTCAAGCCTGGGACAAGCATTGTGCAGTCCTAGCACTTGGGAGGCTGTCAGAGGTTCAGAAGTTCCAGGCCACCCTGAGTTACTCAGTGAGACCCTGTGTCAAAACAGAAATCCACACAGGGCTGGGGCCGTGGCTCAGTGGCAGATCACTGCTTTAGCATGCACAAGGTCCTACGCTCAATGTCCAGGACCTCAAAAACAAGTACAAGTCACAGTGAGATGCGCCTCACACCCCAGGACTGTGTCATCATAAAGCTGGACAGGAATAAGTGTGCCAAACAGTGTGGGGAAATCAGACCCCTTGTGCCATGCTGGGGAGCACACATGGTGCAGCTGCTGTGCAAAGCAGGTCAGCCGTTCCCACAGTGTGAAGAGCCAGCAGTGGCCCAGGAACAACACCGGTCAATTCACAAAGCCCTGTGTGCACAGTGAGGAGTGAAGAAAGCTCAATGCCCACATATGCACTGGTGATGTCCAAGGTCCACATGCGGTCAGCTTCCCATTCCAAGTCTGGTTGCTTCTGCAGTAGTGACACTGCTGACAGGCTCTGAGGGCTGCTCACACACTGCACCCTGTCGCCCTTGGCCACCCAGGCCCCTCACCTCCCAGACTGCCTCTGGTCTCCAAGCCAACTCACCAGGCCAGCCCCGCGGATTCTGCGGGTGAGGTCATCCAGACTCTGGTTCTGCAGCTTCTCAGTGATGACTGTGACCACGGCTGACCCTGCCTCCATCCACACAGATGAGAGCACCAGCTGTCAGACGGCCCCAGCCATCACTGGGTCTGAGATCACCCTCAGGCTTATGTGTCCGTTTTCACAGGTTCCTCTGAGCTGTGTTTCTGTAAAGAGAAACCTCCCATGACCACACAGAGAACTGTTTCTGCCACACACTGAGTCCCACCTACACAAAATGTTATGGACATGCCTGCCTGAGAAGCACTCTCCCACAGAAAACTACCTAGAATGCCCTCCCCTGCAGCTTATAACATGGGCTTCTGGGGAAGGGGTGGAGCCCTGGAGGTGCACACTGCCCGCTCCAAAAGCTGGCAAAGAGCAGGAGAGGAGGCAATGGCGGCAACATCTTAGAAGTTGGGCACCTGCTAGGAAGCCAGGCTAGGGGTGCTGACCCACAGAAGCAACTGCTGGGCCCCCACATCCTCAGGGCTGCTCCAGCAGTTGAACGCCCCTCCCACCGGGGCTCCAGCCCCTTGAGGCTGAGGTTTCCCCTGTGCAGGGGCTGGACTGACACAGGGTCACCATAAAAGAGGGTTCACAGCCCTAGGCTGAGCATCCCAGGAGTGGGCAGCTTGGTCCACATCACCCCAGGGAGATCCAGCATGCAGACAGCACCTCATCCTCTGCACAGCTCCAGTCCTGCTCAGGGTCCTCAGCCACCACAGCCACCAGCTCTAGGAGGGAGAGGCCAAAACAGACAACAGCAAGCTGAAGAGAGCCACACCAAGAGTGGACAGCCACAGCAGTCACCTTCCCCTAGGGGTACAGGCAGCTACTCATGAAGTCAGATCAGAGGCCCTCAGAAACAGATACCCAAGGAAACAAGAACAGAGTTCCTGAGGGCCCCTCCACAGCTCTCCAGAGCACCTGTCCCCAACTGCTGCTGCGCCCAGCAGTGCCACCCTGCCCTGGAGGCCATCCCTCATGACCATCTGTCCCAAATACAGTGCAGGGACCATGTGGCCCAATGTACAGTTCGTGCTGGGAAAGCAAGGAAGTCTAACTTCACACACCAGCAAAATACACTGTCAGATCAAAAGAGAAGGCTACACGAATGCCTCCACAGCTCGACACCCACTTTTCATCCTTCAAGTCCACACTCTCAACAGGATTCAACAAACACTTCCTTTATGAGCCTTTGAAACACAGGCCTAAAACCCAGCACTGGACTGGACAGGACACATCAGGAGACATGGTGGGCATGAGGAGCAGGGCCAAGGGCCACCATCCACACTGCCATCAAGAGCACACCTGGGCAGCCACGGGGCCTGGCGCAGGACTTCCCGTGCACAGGTATGGACCAGCTGGCCCAACCCAGGCAGGTTTGTGAGTACTTCAAATGACACCATCCAGGTGAGTAACATGGCACATATCTGTAATCTTCACTGCTCAGAAGCCTGAGGCAGGAGGATCATGAGTCTGAGGCCAGCCTGTGCAACTCAGCAAGAGGTCTCAAAAAATTAAAAGGGGCCAGGCTTGGTGGCGCATGCCTGTAATCCCAGCATTAGTGAGGCTGAGGCAGGAGGATCACTATGAGTTCAAGACCAGCCTGGGCTACATAGTGAGTTCCAGGTCAGTCTCAACTACATAGTGAGACCCTGTCTCAAAAAGCCTAAAAAAAAATTTAAAAGGGCTGGGCACGTAGCTCAGTGGTACAGATCTTGACTAGCATACAGGAGGCCCTGGTTTCCATCTCCAACACTACCACCAAAGATAAAAAAGGTACCAGCCACCATGGGGGCTACTTTAGACCAGGGGATAGTTCACAAAGACTAATCCACTGTCCCTACTGAGGTCATCTGACCTGAATTCGCACCCACTGCACCTCAGGCACTCAGTGTGCTCAGTGAGAAAAGCCCCCACCCTGCTGGCCACAGACCACGGCTGTCCACAGTTCCCACCAAGAACTGCAGCACCCAGGCCAGGGCCAGCCACACCTGTGTGCTCCAACCAGGAGGCTGACTGAGCGACGGAGAATGCAGGGCCACCAGGAACACGGCAAGTGTGGGCATCCTGGCTCCATTTCTCACTTCAGCCACACCTGAAGGACAGGGGCCCTCAGGGTCCACCCTCAGCCAGATGAAGGGCAGGCTGGCCATGATCCCCAATCCCATGAACCCTGATATCCACACAGCTCCCTTCTCTGGCTCACATGCCACTCCAGGGCCTGTCACCTGCTTTGTCAAAACCTCCTGGTTTCAACCTGGTGTGGTGGTGCACACCGGTAATCCCAGCACTTGAGAGGCTGAGGCAGGAGGATCACGTGAGTTTGAGACCAGCCTGGGCTACATAATGAGTTCCAGGTCAGTCTCAACTACAGAGTGAGACCCTGTCTAAAAAACAAACAAACAAACAAAAAAAACAAACTCCTGGTTTTACAAAACACACATCAGCCCTACAAAGGCCTCAGCAGCAAATAACTGAAAAATACCTAATTTTTATTTAAGGGGCACACAGTCCTTGAAGAAATGTCTGATTCCACAGCTGGAGCACCTCAGGATACAGGGTTTGAGGCCAGATCTCAAGGAGAATGAAGGTGCTGCTGGCAAGATGCACATGGAGACAGAGTAGATCATGCCACAGAAGGAAGGGAAATCCCCAAATCCACACACACATCGTCAGCTGTGAAAATCAATACAGCACACAGGAGAAAGGAGAGTGCTTCCATACAACACAGTGCCAGCTACAAAGGAGGACAGGACAGGAACGCACCTACCCTGGCATCTCAGCACTCAGGAGGCCAGCAGAGGAAGACTGCAAGTTGGAGAGGACACAGCCCACTGTGGAATCCTGACAAAGGAGAAGAGCATCACCCTGTGAGGAGGAAACAGACAGACCCAGCAAGGCCCCCTCAGTCAAAAATCCAGCCTGCAGCAGCATCAGGGTACAGAAGGCCAGAGCAAGGCTGTCCTCCCTGGAGGGGACCAGATGCCAACACAAGACCACAGATCAGAAACTAAATCCAACTGAGCCCTGGAGATGACACCAGTTTCACGTCCGACTATATCACTGCCACAATGACATGCACGTGGACATCTCACTGAAGATAACAGCAAGGAAATGCAGAACCATCATCTTCCGTAACTGACAGATATTCAAAACCTACTGTGTCGGGCATGGTGGCACATAACTGTAATCCCAGCATTTGGGAGTCTGAGGCAAGAGGATCTCCATGACTTGGAGGCCAGCCTGGGATACAAAGTGAATTCAAGGTCAGCTTGAACTACACAGTGAGGCCCTGTAAAAAACAAAAACAAAAAAAAAAAAACAACAACAACAAAAACTCGTAAGCATGCTAACAAGAGACTTGCTAGACAACTGTGTACAGGAAACAGCATGTCCAGCACAACCCACAGGCCCCCACAAAGCACACACAGCACCTCACAGGCTTCAGGACAGCTCAGTAGAGACAAGCCAGGGTCCCATCCCCACCACTTCAACTAGTGCCACAGTTCAGGGACAGAACTACATCAGGAGCCAGCAGCCCCTCCTTCTACTGGAAGCCAAGGGCAGGGGCTGAGAGCAATCAGACCCCAGTGCAGAACATGGATTTCCTCCAAGGTGGAGGAAGGCGCAACACTGAGATGCTCACCAACGCCTGAGTTCAGATCCAATGCGTGCCCAAGCTGCCACACTGAGGGCTTCATGAGGGAAGGTCACCTTCTCTTGGTCCTGACACTAGAGCCCCAGTGGCTCTTGGGAGGGTTGGTGCTCCTTGGCACACACTGCTACAGTGCCATCTCCACTACGTGGTTATGTACTTTCTCCAAGGCCTGTCTTCTTAGGACACTGTGACTGGGTTAGAGCCCACCCTAGTCCAGCACAGCCTCATCCTGATTTATAAATTACATCTGTGAAGACCCTACTTGCAAATAAGATCACATTTATAGGTGCTAGGGGCTAGGACTGCAGTGTGGCTTTTGGCAGGGCACAATTCAACCCATAATGGCAAACCAGTCTCCCCTCACACATCACAGAACCACCAGGACAGTCACGCGGGGCAGCCCTGTGCAGGTCCAGAGCTGAAGCAGGTGGGGCCTGAGGACACCAGAAGAAATGAGACAGTGACACAATAACAGATGGCCGTGCCGGGCGTGGTGATGCACGCCTGTAATCCCAGCACTCGGGAGGCTCAGGCAGGAGGATCACTGTAAATTCGAGACCAGCCTGGGCTACATAGTGAGTTCCAGGTCAGTATCAACTACATAGTGAGACCCTGTCTCAAAAAAACAAAATAAAACAAATAAAAAAAAAACAGATGGCCATGAGAAGAATGAAGACAGTGAGGTGACACTGGTAACAGGACGGTCTGTTCAGAGGGACAAGAAGCCCCTGAGCGGGGGCGGGGGGGGGGGGAGGGGGGGCAAGGAGTCCAAGACCACAAGCTGAGCAAAACCACAAGCTGAGCTCCTGGTGCCAGGAGACAGAGAGCCAGCAGGAAGTCAATCTGCAAGGCAGATTGGTGAGAGAAATCTGGCTCAGGTGACAGGATTGAGCACTCCTGCCTGGTTAGGGTGGGCCCTAGCCCCAGGTGCCTGCAGGAGCTAAGGTCCATGTGCTTGGCTGTCCCAGGAGGCACAATGGCCTCCCACATGGAGGGCCACTTTGAGCACATTTCCATCACCACCACCCTCCAGCCCACTCCCCCACTCTCCTCGGCGACCCAGCCTCCACAGACCGTGCTTCCAGCACCCTGTCTCCAGCTGCTCTCCTAAGCTCAGGGCAGGGCCCAAGTCCCTCCTACTGTCCTCCTTCACCCCACACCACAGGCCCACAGGCCCTCTCCCCCTGGGACCCACACTCCAAAAAGGCACCAAAGTGAATTCTATTAATTTTTAATTCAAATCTACTATATGGGAGCCAGGCATGGTGGCACACACCTGTAACCCCAGCAGGCAGGAGGCTGAGGCAGAGGATCACAAGTTTAAGGCCAGCCTGGGCTACACAGTGAGACTCTGTATGACATGGAGTCAGAAAGAGCATTTGTAAAGCCATGACTGTCTCATCAAAGGGGTGGCTTGGAACAGCCCCCCGAAGGCTGTGGGGGTGTTCCAGTCTGGGCAGCACAGCTCTCGCCCTCCCTGTCTGCTTCCACCGTCCCTCTCACGAGGACACATCCCTGTGGATGAGAGCTGCCCATGTGCTTGGCCAGAGCCTCACTGCGTTACATGGGCAACAGCTGTTTCCCAGTGGGGTCAATTCTGGGGCTGGACATCAGCCCGGCAAACGAATGGGGGAACGTCACTCACCCGTAATGAGCCCTATGCTTTACCAACCGCGGTGCAGCTGTGAAGCCCACACAGCTGCGTGCTGCCCTGCAGAGGACCCGACCCCTGAAACTCAGCCTCACTTCCCCCTTGGCGCCAGACTCCACACAGAGAAGTACCTGCTTGCAGCTGTTCCTGTGTTCCCCACAACACCTCCTCCACTGAGGAAGGCACCTTCCTGAGGCTGGGGGCTCCCTGGAACCATCCTCCACATGAGCCCCTAACAGGGCACCCCCAGTTCAGCCACACCACACACACCAGTGGCTGAGTTAACAACCCTCTCTTTTTCATCTGCAAACACCCCCCACACACACTGGGAGTTCTTCCCCCAAGTCCCCAGCAGCATCACAAAGTCCTAGATCAGGCTTTAGTGGGTTGGGCTCTGCTCCCAGAGCCTGAGTACCACCCCACATCCCAGCTTCCTTGGAGGGGAACCCACGAGCCCACACCCAGACACTCAGCGGGCTTTCATGCAGGAAAGCATGTAGGAGCCCCCAACAGCCCCAGACTGGAGACCAGGAGGCTCAGGCCAAGGAAACGTCCCAGCCTCTCCCAGTGACGTGCTGGGGGGGGGGACTGGGAGGGTCCATCTCCATCCAGCTCCTCCCTCCAGACTGCTTCCTGCGTGCCCTGAGCAGCTCCCCCTTGCCCTCTGCCATGCCATTCAGCCTTGGAGCCAGCTAGCTACAGATGGGAGCATGAGCCAAAATAAATCTATCTCTCCCCTAAGTTTTGGGTGTCAGGTATTTTGTCCCAGCAACAAGGGAAGTGACTAAGCGTGTCCTCTCCCTCCTGTGTCTCCACTCTGGTTCTCGTCATTTCACTGTCTGAGATACAGCCTCAGCTCTATCTTCCAGCCCTACCCATGACCCTGTAACCCTGCTCCAGTCCGGCACCCTCCTCAGCTCTTCTCTGAACACACAGTGCTGGAGCCTCACTTCTGCCTCTCGGGTCACAGGTCCCGCTGCTCCTGGTTATTCCTCCTGCCCTGCACTGCACACCACTGTCCCAGGTCTTCTCCATCAGCCAGATGGTCTCCCCAAGGTTTCTCACCCCACGCCCCACTGGAGCTCTGAAGGGGCATCATCACTACCTGCTTCACGGGTCTCCACCCACAGAGCTTATCCTGGCCCCTCTGAGGGCTCTGCCTGACATTGGGGAGAAGCAGCCTGACTCGCAACACAGACGGATCTGTGAACATCGGGCTCAGAGGAGTGAGAGCCGGGAGGTGAAGAAGCAACCTCTGTACAACACTTGCCTGCACCTCCAGAGCCAACCCAGGCCCCAGCAGCAGACCAGGCTCTTATCTCTGGACTCCGGAGGGGCTACTTCCCCTCCCTTCCGGTTCCTAAAGCATGAAGTGAGGACAGCTTGTGATATCTGCATAAGGAGTTTGGTGTAGCTAGGCACAGTGGCACACACCTGTAATCCCAGGATAAGGAGGCTAAGGCAGGAGGCTTAGAAGTGTGAGTGCTACCTGGACAACTTTGAAAGACTCGTCTCAAAATAGTAATTTTGAGACGAAAGACTCGTCTCAAAATAGTAATAGTAATAGCAACTCCAATAAAGAGCTGCAGATGTGGCTCAATGAGAGAGTGCCTCCGAGTTCAATCCTCAGTAGCACGGGGGTGGGGTCGCACAATGAAATGAGCCTACCTCTGTCACAACCTGGCTGACCAGGGCTCCTCAGTGCCCAAGCTGCCATTTCACAGTACAAAGGCACTGGGGCCTGGGTGGCTTTGACAGAAAAAGACTCCAGTCAAGCTCATCAGCCCTGTTAAACCATATGCATCGCAAACTCAAGGGACACCAGCAGACCGATAACCATGCAGGTAAACCACTGGCACCCAACTCCAGGTGCTTGGAGCGTGCTTTTTAGTTTTCTCTCAAAAAGCACCTGAAAGCCAGGCACAGTGGCACACACCTGTGGTTGCATCTACTCAGGAGGTTGAAGCAAGACGATCACTTGAGCCCAGGAGGTAGAGAGCAGCATAGGCAATACAGGTAAATCCTATCTCTTAAGACAAAAAAGAATTCAAACAATAGTAATCAGGCTGCACTTCAGTCAATGGTGTTGTGCTTCCTTCTCCCAAGGGAAAGAGAGGTTGAGTCCCCATCCTGACCAGTAGCATGTGCTGGGCAAGAGACTACAGCGGAGAAGCAGCTCCAACTGCCCAGCTCTTCCGGGACACATCCAAAAGGAACGTGGAAGTCCTGCTACTATGTCCTCCTCTCCTGGCCACCAGGAGGGGCAGCAAAAAAGCCACCAGAGGAGGCTGTGGCGAGCAGTCCCATCCACCAGCCCAGAAGAGACCCTGTGCAGGGACACAGCTCTGGACTCAAGGCCCCAACAGCACAAGGACAATATGCAATCATTACTGTCCCAAGCCACCCACTCTGCAGGTAAGCCACTGCTGCCACCGTTACCAAAATGGCAGCACTTCCTCCCTCACTGCAGGAGCCAGTCGGGCACCACCCCTGCACAAGAGGCGCGTGGAGAAGGCAGTGCTGGGATCTCACACTTCCCAGTGGCCACACAAGTGCAGTCACTGTGACTACTGGATCTGACCTTTGTCCATAGTGACCAACCAGGGCTCAGTCTCCTTTAAGGGAGCACATTAGGCAGGACACACCTGTTATCCCAGCACTCTGGAAGGATGAGAAAGGAGGATCACAAAGTTCAACTTGGTGAGACCCCATGTCAAAAAATAAAATTAAAGGGCTAGGGATTTAGCTCAGGATTTAGCACCTGCTTTATAGGCACAAAGTCCTGAGTTCAATCTCCAGTACCAAAAAGTAAATAAGAAGGACTGGGGATTTAGCTCGTGGTTCCGCCGCCTACATCACAAGCACAAAGACCCAAGTTCGATCCCCAGTACCAAAAAAGAAA